GAATATGATACCTACTATATAAAGAGGAGGAAGAAAAAGGAGAGAAAAAAAGGAACTCTTACATTGTGTTTATAATAGCGTAGTGAGTTATGTTACTGTTAGAAAGTAGAGAAGCTGCCCTTGAACATTTGGTAACCATGAACCCAAAGCCTGCAATGGCAATAAGTATATATCAATCAACAATCATCCTAAATGTAAATGGACTGAAGGCACCAATCAAAACTTAAAGAGTTACAGAATGGATAAAATAGCAAGATCCATCCGTCTACATGCTGCCTACAAGAGACTCACTTCAAACCCAAAGACACACACAGAATTAAAGGGAAGGGATGGAAAAAGATATTTCATGCAAACAATAGGGAGAAAAAAGGGGGAGTCACAGGACATGTATCAGACAAAATAGACTTCAAAACAAAGAAAGTAACAAGAGATAAAGAAAGGACATTACATAATGATAAAGGGGTCAGTCCAACAAGAGGATATAACCATTATAAATATCTTTGATCCAACACAGGAGCACCTACATATGTGAAACAAATACTAACAGAATTAGAGGAAACAGAAATCAATGCATTTTAGGAGACTTCAATAAACCACTCACTCCAAAAGACAGATCAACCAGAGAAAATAAATAAGGACACAGACGCACTGAACAACACATTAGAACAGATAGACCTAAAAGATATCTACAGAACACTCCGTCCAAAAGCAGTAGGATACACATTCTTGTCAAGTGCACATGGAACATTTTCAAGAATAGATCATATACTACGCCACAAAAAGAGCCTCAGTACAGAAGGACTGAAATTGTACCAACTAATTTCTCAAACCACAATGGTATGAAGCTAGAAATAAACTGTGCAAAGAAAACAGAAAAACCCATAATCATATAGAGGCTTCACATGCTCCTAAATAATCAATGGAACAATGACCAACTTAAAGCAGAGATCAAGCAATATAAGAGACAAATGAAAACAACAGCTCAATGCCCTACTTCTGCGGGACAGAGAAGGCAGTTCTAATACGGGCCTATCTCAAGAAAGAACAATCCGAAATGAACAGTCTAAGCCACAATTAGTGAAACTAGAAAAAGAAGAACAAATGAGGCGCAAAGTCAACAGAAGAAGAGACATAATAAAGATCAGAGTAGAAATAAATAAAATTGAGAAGAATAAAACAAGAGAAAGAACTCATAAAACCAAGAGCTGGTTCTTCATGAAAATTAATAAAACAGATTAACCCCTGGCCAGACTTATGAAGAAAAAAGAGAGTGAACACACATAAACAGAATCAAAAATGAGAAAAGAAAAATCACTATGGACCTCACAGAAATACAAAGAATTACTAGAGAATTCTATGAAAAATTATATGCTAACAAAGTGGATAACCTAGAAGAAATTGACAACTTTCTAGAAAAATAAAACCTTCCAAGGCTGACCCAGGGAAAAACAGAAAACCTGAACAGATCAATTACCAGCAATAAAATTGAACTGGTAATTAAAAAACTACCCAAGAACAAAACTCCTGGACCATAGGCTTCACAAATGAATTTTATCAAACATTTAGTGTAGACCTAATAACCATCCTCCTTAAAGATTTCCAAAAAGTAGAAGGGGACAGAATACTCCCAAACTCATTCTATGAGGCCAGCAGCATCACTCTAATACCAAAACCAGGCAGAGACACCACAAAACAAGAAAATAACAGACAAATATCCCTGATGAACATAGATGCAAAAATACTCAACAAAATATGAGCAAACTAAATTAAAAAAATACATCAAAAAGATCACACATCACGCTCAACTGCAATTTATTCCAGGGATGCACCAATGGTACAGTATTTCAAAATCCATCAAGATCATCCACCACATCAATAAAAAGGACAGAAATTACATGAACATCTCCAGAGATTCTGAAAAAGCATTTGACAAAATTCAACAACCATTCACGATAAAAACTCTCACCAAAATAGGCATAGAGGGCAAGTACCTCAACATAATAAAGGCTATAATGACAAGCCCACAGCCAACTTCATACTTAAGAGCAAAAACCTTAAATCGTTTACTCTAAGATCGGGACCGAGTCAAGGAAGGATGCCCACCCTCCCCATTTTTATTCAACATAGTACCCGAGACCATACCCACAGCAATCACACAACACAAAGGAATAAAAGGCATCTAGATTGGTAAGGAAGAAATTAAACTGTCACTGTTTGCAGATGACATGGTATTGTACATAAAAAACCCTAAAGAATCCACTCCAAAACCACTAGATCTAATATCTGAATTCAGCAAATTTACAAGATACAAAATTAATACACAGAAATCTGTTGCATTCCTATACATTAACAATGAACTAGCAGAGATATCAGGAAAACAATTCCAATCACAATTGCATCAAAAAGAACAAAATACCTAGGAATAAACCTAACCTAGGAAGTGAAAGACCTATACTCTGAAAATTACAAGACACTCATGAGAGAAATTAAAGATACCAATAAATGGAAACACATCACGTGCTCATGGATAGAAAGAATTAATATTGTCAAAACAGCCATCCTGCCTAAAGCAATCTACAGATTCAATGCAATTCCTATCAAAATACCATCAGCATTCTTGAACAAACTAGAGCAAATAGTTCTAAAATTCATATGGAACCACAAAAGACCCTGAATAGCCAAAGCAAATGAATCAAAGACCTGAATTTAAGTCATAAAACCATAAAACTCTTAGAAGACAAGATAGGCAAAATACTCCTGAATATAAGTATGAGCAGCTTCTTCCTGAACGCATCTCCTCGAGCAAGGGAAACAAAAGCAAAAATGGTAACATGGGACTACATGAAACTAAAAAGCTTGTATACAGCAAAGGACACCACCAACAGAACAAAAGGCATCCTACAGTATGGGAGAATATATTTGTAAACAACATATCTGACAAGGGGTTAACAACCAAAATATATAAAGAACTCACACACCTCAACACCCAAAAAGCAAATAACCCGATTAAAAAATGGGCAGAGGATATAAAGAGACAATTCTTCAAAGAAATTCAGATGGCCAACGGACACATGAAAAGATGCTCCACATAACTAATCATCAGAGAAATGGAAATAAAAACCACAATGAGGTATCACCTCACGCCAGTAAGGATGGCCAGCATCAAAAAACTAAGAACAAATGCTGGCAAGGATGCGGAGAAAGGGGAACCCTCCTACACTGCAGGTGGGAATGTAAGCTAGTTTAACCATTGTAGAAAACAAATATGGAGGTTCCACAAAAAACTAAAAATAGAAATACTATTTGAACTGGGAATCCCACTCCCTGGAATGTACCCAAAGAATACACGTTCTGAGATTCACAAGACATATGCACCCCTATGTTTATCACTGCACTTTTTACAGTAGCCAAGATATGGAAGCAACCTAAGTGTCCATCAGTGGTGAATGGATAAAGAAGATGTGGTACATATACACAATGGAATACTATTCAGACATAAGAAATAATCAAATCCTACCTTTTTCAACAACATGGATGGAGCTGGAAGACATTATGCTCAGCGAAATAAGTCAGGCAGAGAAAGACAAGTGCCAAATGATTTCCCTCATTTGTGGAGTATAATGAAGCAAAACCGAAGAAACAAAACAGCAGCTGACTCAAAGACTCCAAGAAGGGACTAGCAGTTACCAAAGGGGAGGGTTGTGGGTGGGTGGGCGGGTGGGTTGGGAGCGAGAAGGGGATTGAGGAATATTAAGTTTAGTACACATGGTGGGCGGGTCATGGGGAAGACAGTGTAGCAGAGAGAAGACAAGTAGGGACACTGTGGCATCTTACTACACTGATGGACAGAGACTGAAATGAGGTATGGATGGGGACCTGATAATATGGGCAAATGTAGTAACCACAGAGTTCTTTCATGTGAAACCTTCATAAGAGTGTATATCAATAATGCCTTAAAAAAATAATAATGCCCTGCTGTGCAGATGAGAGGATCAAAATAAAGAGGCAAAAAACCTCTTACACTTAAAAAAAAAAAGCTGAGCCTACATGATTCACACAATAAAAACATGGGCTATGCTGAGCTACCCTCCTGGATCTGGGGAATATTCAAATATTCCAGGCCAAGTTTCGCTGGGCTTTTTGAGCTTTAACTGATTAACTCTGGGCTTTCCTGGCCTTACTCTGTTTCCGCCCCACTCATAATACCTATTTTCCCGACTAACATTTATAGCACACAGAATTACCTGTGCATATGTCTCGGATGGAAACTTTCTTGTTAAATCTGCAGCTGCTCTTTCAGCTCAGGGTTGGCATCTGCATTTCAATCAAGACCTAGCCCACGACCCCAGGTGCATATTTGAATAACAAAGACGTAGAACTCCAGGGAAAAAAGCCTCATAAGACTTTAAATTTTCGTGCAATTTCAAGTTCTAATATAACAATGTAATGGAAACATTCCTTGAACATTTAGTAGTTACTAGACATCATTCCAACAACTTTTCATGAATACAAGAAAACAAACAAAAATTATCTGTACGGAGAAGCATTTTCTCTTGTTAAAGTATTGTGCAAACATGGAGGAAAAGGCAGCAATGAGGTTTTAACCAGATTATCTGGCTCATCTCCAGAAAAACCCACATCCCTCAAAGGTTACACTTTATACATACAGTTATCTAGGGTGATACCTCTGCTCTTGGATAAATTTCACTAGTTAAACTCTTTTCACGCAGTTCTGGGGTGGGAGGTCAAAAATTCTTCCTGAGTCTTTTGTGCCCTGATGGTTTTACAACTGAAAATAATCTGCGTGTCCCAGTGGCACATCGTGGGTGGCCGACCCCCGGTCCCCACACAGCTAAGCCTGAGGTGCATTTTTTAAAGGTTTCAGAGCAGGTGAGCACACTGGGAAGGCAGGACGGCGGAAGCAGAGAAGGAACCGAGCGCCAGTTCTAAACGCAGAGCAGCTCAGGGGGAAACGCGGGCCCAGCCCCGGCCGGACGCACCCTCACCTGGGCGGCCGCCATCTCCGCCTCGGCCTCGGGCTGCTCGGGCTCCTCCCCCACCGGGCGCTGTGCGGACACGGCTCACGGCCCCGGAGAAGATGCGCGGATAGCCGGCGGCAGGGCCTCCCCCGGCTCCGCGCCGTCCGCGGGCAGCACCCTGACACGAGGCCCAGGCAGCCCTTCGGGCCCGGGTCTCCGGACGGACGTGGGAGCGCGAGGATCGTACACCGCGAAGTAACCACCTGCGACCGCCGAACCGTCCGGAAGCAGGAACGGGGGACCCGCCTCGCCCTCCCCGCGGGACGTAGCAGCCGCGCAGGCGCAGCAGGTCCGGCGTCACCCCGCGCACCCGCGACCCCGGAAGCGGCCTGGGGCTCCGCCCCCTAAGGTTTTAAGGAGGGCGGGGCGCCAGGGAGGCTCGGTCCGTTAAGGACGGGCGCTGTCCGGGGTCAGGGGTCTGTAGCGGTGACCCCAGGGGGGCTGACATTGCCCGCCCGCGCGTTAAACCCCAGCCAACCAAGGCGTGTCAGTCTCAGCGGGACTCTCCGACTTCTTTGCTTCTAACCCTTTATATCCCTGTGTTGATACTATTATTGATTCCTAATATCTTTTGTTCCCTGACCCGGATAACCCGCCTACAGGGACCTTCTTCCCTGTTTTCTTCCATGAGAGGGAGACTAATAGGAGAAAGGGAAGCAGAAATTCATTAGCAAAGACACCTCCTAAGACGTGGTAGAGACCCAGGCAAATTGAGTACTTCCCTGAAACCTGAGTCACCCCCTCCAATCCATCTCTACCTGAAGACCAAAGACGCTGGGGATGGGGATGGTTTGAGGAGGTTATCAGGACAGGAACTTGAGTCAAGAATGGGGTTGTTACCAGATTCAAGTCCATGCTGTCCCTACTGATAATACAAAAGGGAAACTCCTTGGTTTTCAGAGCTTATTCTAGATCCACTATCATTCCTCAGTCCCACTGAATCCATCGTGAGCTTGCTTGGGCTGAAACCCACACAAGGCAACATGTAATATAAAATAGAGAGCAAAGTAGGAAAATCTTCAAAGATACTGAATCGATGTGGAGATAGCGCAAAAGGACTATCATTCGTTTTTCCACTGTTATCAACTACATAAATTATTACATAATATGCAATTTTTTTCGCCAAAAGTAATTGGATTTGAGTTATAAATAAGTAGCAAAATATTTTGGGGGTATAAATAAACTAGTCTTTATACAAAAGTTTTTTACAAATGGAATTTGAGACATAAAATATTGCGCACTGAAAAAATTCAAACGGGAAACACAAGAATGAGCCTGAAAATGACACGAGATTATTGCAAACCATTGAAAATATCAGAAGGCACATTTGAAGCTGTAAACTACCAAACCCTTAGTTTGCACTGCTATCTGCATCCTTCAAGTCACCTCTTCCATAAAGGCTTCTTTACTAACTGTGTGAAGGACAATTGTCCTATCTTGATCAACAGAATATGAGCATTTTCAGAACAGACATAGTTAGCACCTCCATCCAACACATCAAACCTAAGTAACAGCAAAGAAATTATAGTTCAACAAATGTGACTTGATCATGTTATTTATACAGAGCTGAGTGAGGCAATGAGGTCCAACAAACTCATTCTCATATACACGTGGCTTTTACTGAAATAACTACACTGAAAATCATGGAAATTTGTCTCTAATTTCTAGAAGACAAGTAGTGACTGTGGCATCTTACAAGACTGATGGACAGTGACTTCAATGGGGCATGGGGGGGACTTGATAATATGGGTGAATGTAGTAGCCACAATGTTTTTCATGTGAAACCTTCATAAGAGTGTATATCATCATTAGTAGAATAAAAAGACATCCTACAGTACGGGAGAATATATTCATAAATGACATACCCAATAAGGGGTTGATACCAAAATGTACAAAGAAGTCATGCACCTCAACAAACAAAAAGCAAATAATCCA